AATTGAGGCTTACCCAATATTCTATTATGTCCCTAAATTCGATGGGGACAAGTACGAATCAAGCCATAGAAGTGTGATGTTTTACGAGGATGTTTTGTGCACGTAAATCACCAAGACCAGCCCATTCTAATAAAGCCTGACGAGGCGTTTTTTTAATAATAAAGCGTCTGCATTTTTCAAAAGACAGTCCTTCAAGTTTACTGAAGTAATAATGGCGTGTGGTTAAAGGCCTTTCTCCTTCGAAAGCTTTTCTAGCAAGTGTTCCCAGTGAAAGATGCTCCATTCCTTTTCCCTTAAAGGGATAACGCTTTCCAAACTTTTCTTTTAGTAACGCATTAGCAACAGAGACCTTATTATAGATCAGGGCATTTTCCAGAGCTTGATATATAAATCTGATTTGATGGTATCGCGTGTAGGTATCCTTGGAAAAGAGGTTGCTTCCCCAAGCTTTCTTAAGAGCTGTCTTTAAAATATTTCTGATAAAGGTATCTGCTACAAGAGCTTCATGCCACCGATTAAATCTGATTCTACAGATTAGAAGGTCGTGAACCGCACGATACCCATATCGTCCAGTCAGCATAAATTGCTCGATAGTCTCTTCGTCTAAATAACTCAGAACAATGCTCATTGGACCAAAGGGAATATCTGTTAATTTTACAGGTTTTACTTCAAGGGGAGGTTCTTCCTCTATTTCATCTTCAACCTGACCAAGCATTCTAATATCTTGATCTACTTCATGTTCAATAATGGTTAAGTGTTCGACAGGCTTTTCTATGAGAGGTTTTGAAGGAGGGGAAGTGTCTTCTTCAAAAGAAGCCCCCGTATTGAATGAAAAAAGAATAAAAAGAAAAAGGTAAGAAAAAAGGTGGATCATAGCGTATCTCTCCCAAAGGCCCTGACACGCTTATTCGTCCTAAATTAATGTTAACATTCTATTAACATGCCTCTTTTTTACTTTCTTTTTGCAAGGTATTTTCTTCTTCTAAAATTGATTTTACTTTTAGCGCAAGTGCTTTAAGGCTAAAAGGTTTTGCAAGAAAATGTATGTTTTCGTCTTGTTTTACTTTTTGCCTGAAATCATCTTCTGCGTATCCTGAAATGAAGATTACTTTTAGTTTTTGGGTCAGCTCATTCACTTTTTCGATCAGTGTTGGGCCGTCCATAATGGGCATAACAACATCTGTTATGATGAGGTCGATATTTTCAAGGCGTCCTTCAGAAGTAATGTATTCCCACGCTTCTTCTCCATTATGTGCTTCAATAACACGATATCCTTTATCTCTTAAAGCTCTGGCACCAAAAAGTCGGACGGCATCTTCATCTTCTACAAACAAAATATTTGCGGTTCCTGTTAAGTCTTTAGGAGATTCTTTATCTTGCTCTTTTTTGTGACCTTTTAGGTCCTTTTTTAAGGGTGAAACTGAAATTTGACTCGGAATCTTTTTCTTTCGGGGGAGAAAAATACGAAAGGTTGATCCTGCTTTTTGTTGGGTTTCGACTTGGACAAGACCGCCCATTTGTAAAATGATTCCATAAACTGTTGCCAAACTTAAACCTATTCCTTTTTCGGCTTTTGAAGAAAAGAAAGGATCAAAAATTCTAGGTAAGTCCTTATCATCAATCCCGCAACCATCATCTTTAACTTCGATTGTGATGTAGTCTCCTGGCATAATTTTTTCTGAGCCAGAGTAAATTGGTTGATCAATTCTCTTATTTCGAGTTGTGACAGATATTGTCCCGGGTTTGTCTCCTATAGCATCTCGGGCATTAACGACCAAATTAATGATGACTTGTTCAAATTGACTTTGATCGACTTTTATCAGCCATAAATCTCTTTCGTAATGAACGCTTAAGGTGATTGAAGCCCCAACAAGGCGCCCCAAAAGAGGCGTTAAATCAGCAATGTGTTCAGTGACATTTAAAAGTTTTGGTTGCAAGGTTTGTTGTTTTGAGAAGGCAAGGAGTTGGCGGACTAAGTTTGCTGCTCGATTGGCATTTTGTTTGATTTGCATAATATCAGTAAAGGACTGATCTCCAGGAGAATGGTGCAAAAGGAGAAGATCGCAAAAACCGATAATCGCTGTTAAAAGGTTGTTAAAGTCATGAGCAATACCTCCGGCGAGTTCTCCCATGGCTTGTAGTTTTTGAGACTGTAACATTTTCAGATGAAAATTTTTCTGCTCTGTGTAGTCGATACATTGTAATAGGTAAGATTGTTCCGTTATTTTAGAGGCGTAGGCTTGAAAAACCTGGGAAGGGTGCTCTTTTAAAGTAATTTCAAAACGTGCTCCATCTTGGCTATTAATAAAATTGTTCCAAATTTTCCCATGTGTAAAAACATGCTGAACAGAAGCTCTAGACAAAAGATCTTTAATATTAGACCCTTTGGTTCTTTTTGTTGTTAGTTTTTCAAAACTTTCATTTGTTTCCTGGATTGTTCCCACTTTATCTAGAATAATTTGGGGGAGGTGGCTTTTTGTAAAAGTACACTTTTGTAATGACTTTTTTTGACTTTCTTCAAGAGCTTTTAAATCTTGAAAGCGCCAAATCGTATACCCTTCTGTTAATGGTGTTACTTCAATACAAATTTTTTTTGTGTGTTCGTCTTCTATTTGAGAAAATTCTTTTTTGTTTGGATGTCCAAGAAATGCTTCTTGCGCAAAGGCCCTGAAAGATTCTAATTCTTCATGGGAAATTTTTTTTTTCAAAATCATTGATTGACGAGAGTTGAGAAAAGTTTTTTTCAAAGGCTTGGGTTTTGAAAACGATCAAGCCTTGCGAATCAAAAAGAGCCATCTTTTGGCCAGACGCATTTAAAAAAGGAATGGCAAATTTACGGATCACAAGAGTATCCGCTCGGCCTGCATTCTTTTTGCAGGAGAAAATTTTTTTTAAATACGCAGACAACATTGATTACACCCTGTAAGTTAAAGCTATGATACATCATTTAAGGTTTATTTATAAGGGGGAAGTCATGACCAAAAAGCTCTCTGGTAGAATCGCACTTATTACAGGAGCATCGCGTGGTTTAGGAGCGGCAATCACAGAAGCCTTTGCGAAAGAAGGCGTAGAGTATCTCATTTTGTTGGCGCGTTCAGTAGAGAATCTTGAAAAGTTAGATGATCGTTTGTCTTCTTATAATGTTGGGACAACTCTTGTCCCTGTAGACTTAAGAGATTTTAATCGTTTAGATCAATTAGGGAAACAAATCCATGAACGATTCGGCCGCTTGGATATTTTTGTTGGAAACGCTGCAATACTCGGTCCTCTCACTCTTCTAACACATACACCGATTGAAGAATGGAACGCAGTTATGGAGACGAACTTCCATGCAAATTGGCGTTTGTTACGAACATTAGACCCATGTTTGAAGGCCTCTTCTGCGGGGCGTGTGGTTTTTGTTACTTCTGAAGTGACTAAACCTTCTCCCTACTGGGGGGCTTATAGCATCAGCAAATCTTCTCTGGAGGCGATGACGCGCCTTTATGCAGCAGAGCAAGAGAATGTCTCTTCCGTGAAGGCAAATTTGGTTGATCCGGGAACTTTACATACGGACATGATGGCCCAGGCCTCTCCTGGAGGGGATCCATCGTCCTGGACGCCTCCTGAAAAAGTGGCGAGTGTTTTTGTGGATTTGGTCCAAGCTTCATCCGTATTGTGCCCAAGAATTGCAAAAAGTTGCTTAAGTTTTTTTCTCTTTGTAAGGATTTTTTCCTGCTTTCAAGATTAAGCGGAGAGGAACAGCCGGGAGATCAAAAACTTCGCGCAAGCTATTTATGAGATAGCGTTGGTAAGATGCGGGAATTTCTCCAGGCTTACTTGCAAAAATAGCAAAGGTTGGTGGGCGTGTTTTGATTTGCGTCATATACTTTAACCGTAAACGTCGCCCTTGAGATAAGGGAAGTGGGTGGGCTGCTAAAGCATCTTCAAGCCACTGATTCAACTTTGCTGTTGAAATACGTCGATTCCACAAATCATAAACCTTAAAAACTTGATCCATCAAAGCATCAAGCCCCCTTTTTTCCTTTGCAGAAAAGGGTACGATAGGAATACCAGAAACTTGAGATAGAGTTGTTTCAATCTTTTCATGGAGTTGCTTTAAAAAAGATTGCTTTTTAGAGTTTGAGATTTTGTCCCATTTGTTTAAGCCTAAAACAAGCGCACGCCCTTCTTCAATGACGCGTTTTGCTAAAACTAAATCCTGTTTTTCCAATGGATGTGTTGCATCAAGCGTCAGCACAACAACTTGGGCGAACCGCATTGCTCGAAGAGCATCTTTTGTTGAAAGACGTTCTAAGGATTCTTGCACACGAGAACGTTTGCGTAATCCTGCTGTGTCCACTAAACGTAGAGGGCGTCCTCCGTAGTTCCAGTCAATGGCTATGGCGTCTCTTGTTAAACCAGCTTCAGGACCCGTTAGAACCCGCTCGTCTTTTAACAGGCTATTTACAAGGGTTGATTTTCCGGCATTGGGCCGCCCTAGAATGACTAACTGAAGCGCCTTTGGGCTTTCTTCATCGATCTCTTCTTCAATAGGATTGACATGAGGCGCAATTGCAGTAAAAAGATCTTGTAAGCCTTGACCATGAGCCGCAGAAATTGGAATAGGGGACCCTAAACCCAATTTATGAGTCTCTGCAAAAATAGTATCCGATATCCCTCCCTCACATTTGTTCGCAACCAAAATGATGCGTTTGCCCAAGGGGCGCAATTGATTCATTAGGTCCTCTTCCAAAGGGATAAGACCTTCGCGTCCATCAATGACAAACAAGATAAGATCTGCTTGCTTTGCGGCTTTTTTAGATTGTTCCCACATTGCCGTCGGCAAGTCTTGAGTGCCCGCACCTTCAAAACCAGCCGTGTCCACAAGGGAAAAAACCAAATCGCCTAAGCTCCCACGACCTTCCTGGCGATCTCGTGTCACACCAGGGGTTTCGTCTACTAAGGCTTTTTGTTGACCCACCAAGCGATTAAATAGCGTTGATTTCCCAACATTAGGTCTTCCGAGAATAGCAAGTGTTGTCATAACAATATGTTCTTAGCGGTAAGCCGTTAGATCTCCACCATCAGAAAGAGTATACAGTACTTTTCCTGCAATAATGGGAGGAAGACTAAAAGATCCGGAACTTTGGATTTTCTCAACCTCATCACCGTCTTCGGGGCGTAGAAAAACAATTTCACCTTGAGAATTTGTTAGGGCTAACCGGCCTTCTACAAGGCGTGGTCCAGCCCAAAATAAAGGTGTGCTCGATTCACTGCCAACATATTTGGGAAGATTTTTTATCCAGCGAATATGACCCCCATCTCTTGTCAAACAAGCCAGTTGTTTTTCTCTAAATAAGACAAAAACAAAATGCCCAGAAGGCGCTGGGGTGTGAATTCCGCCAACTTCTCGATTCCAAAGACGCTGTCCTGTAAACACATCTAAAGCAAGAAGGCGTCCTCCGTTGCTAATTACGTAAACAATCCCCTGATCAATAGCAGGTTGTGCACGAATATGTCCTAAAGAAGAGATCGCGTCTAAGCGGCCAAAAGAGCTGAGCCGTTCTGTCCAAATGGGACGGCCATCTTCGGCACGTAATGCAAATATTTCTCCAGAAGTGTAAGGGACAATAACAAGTCCAGAGGCAACAACAGGAGACGCTGTCCCCAAAAGGCCTGTACTTTCTAACATGCCTTCATGAGCCCACAAAGGAGACCCTGTTTGTGCCTCGAAGACCTCTAACCGGTTGTTAATCGTTAAGACAAAGACGCGACCATCTTTAATGACAGGCGCGGATCGAACAGGACTTTCCAAAGATTGCTCCCACACGATCAATCCATCTTTAGGATTCAAAGCAAATACCTGTGCAAAAGGTGTTGTGGTAAACAATAGCCCTTCCGCATACGAAACACCTCCACCTAGGCTTGCACCTGATTGTCCCGAGGGCTTTAAACTTTTTTTCCACAAAGCTTTTCCTTTATCTCGTGAAAATGCAACCACAGAAGTACTCGCATCCAGGGCATAAATACTGCTTTCAACAACAATCGGAGGTGTCAACAGTTTGCTAGAACTTCCTCCTCCAGAGATTGAAGATTCCCACTGTCTTGTAAGCTCTGTCCCTAAAGCGGAGGGCAAAGTTGCACGGTCTGCTTCTCCAGAAGGTTGGGGCCAATCATTGTTTTCTACAGCAGGTGGTAATTCTACAGGAATATGTTGTACTAAAAAGTCAGGGCGCAATTCTTCTCCAGATAAAAGAACAGCTTCACGATGACCCTCTAGCGGAGGAGCTTTTTTCTTACTGCATCCCGCAGCAAGAACACACAAAAATGTTGCTAAAATGAGATAGGTTTTATTGAAAGAAAACATAAAAGGTTCCTTAAGTTGTGGGAATGCGACTTAAAACCGCTGAAGCTCGTGTACGAAGTTCAGGGCTTGAAAAACGGTGCTTTAAAATTTTTTCAAAGAATTCTCTCGCTTTTTGTGGCTCTGCTGATTTTAAGACATTGAGGCCTAGAGCTTCCAAGGCAAGAAAACGCCAAATGCTTTCGGACTCTCCAATGAAAGAGAGCTTTTCAAAAGTATCTTTTTCAATTCCTTGGTCCAACTGCGTCCAAGCTTTTAAAAGAGTTGCAAGCTCTCTAAAAGAAGTCTCTGCCTTCCCATTTTCCATCAAAGACGTATAAATTTCTTCGCGTTTTGCAAGAGTGTTCTCTCCAGAAGGGTCTGATTGAAGGATGGCCGCTTTGGCTAAATCGGAAAGCCCACTGTATCCCTTACCGGCCGTGTGTAACTGGTCTAATATTGAAAGCGCTTCTTTAACTTTGCCTTCTCGTGCAAGTACAGCTCCTTGTTCATAAAGCTCTGACCAACTTTCGTTTTGGGTTTGTGTGTGATGGTTCCAATAAATAATGCCTCCCCCGACGAGGAATGCTAAAATTATTCCCCCAATCAAAGTATTTTGATGCTTCTTCCAAAATGTTACCCATTTTTCAATTTTCAGGTCTTCCCTGACTTCTTCTAGAAAATCGCTCATATCCTTTGATCCTTCAATGTTACACGTATTTAGAAATACAAAACCTTAGAACTCTTTTATAAGGAACTTATACAATTTTGTGAAATTCTCTTTTAACATCTGAAAAAAAGGTATAATCTAAGCTGCGTTAGTGGAGCTCTTCAAGAGCGTATTATGAGGGAGATTTTTGAATGAAAAATGTCAAATGGCTTGGTCGTCTAGGGGCTGTAGCTACGTTAACCGGCCTACTTACAAGTTGTGCTCACATGGATATAGATGACCTTAAGAAGGCAGAACAAAAAGGGCATGAATTTACCCAAAACTTGACTAAGGAATATCTAGACTTTGCGATGCGCGAAACAGATAAATACAATGATCAGCTAGACGCTTCTCACTTTGCCGTTAAAGGCATTCAAGCAGCAGCTGGTTTACATGTATTACCTGAAAATCCAGATGTTTGGGGAATTGCTGATCAGGGTGCTCTTGGGGAACTGCACAAGTATCGTGAACGCCTAATGTTTGCCTTTCATAAGAGCGGAAAAGTGATTGATCCTGCTTTGGCTGCACAAGCTGTTGTTCTTTTCGACTGCTGGGTTGAAGAGCAAGCGGAAGGCTGGCAACCAGAAAACATCGCAAAATGCCGCGATGGTTTTATGACAGCTTTAAAGAAGCTTGAGGAAAGTGTGCGCACAGAAGCTCCAACATTTATGATTTGGTTCGCTTTGAACAGCGCAACTTTGACACCAGAAGGTCAAGAAGAAATTGATCAAATCATGAAAGTTGCGAAGCATCTTACACACCATAAGTTTGTTATCCACTGTGTTACAGACGGAATTGGTGGGCGTGCATTCAACTTGAAGTTGTCACAAGATCGTGCAGAAACAGTAAAAGCTGCTGTTTTGAAAGCAGGGCTTGATGCATCACGAATTGAAAGCGCTGTAGGTCTTGGTGAAGCAGAAGGAACATTGGAAATCAAGCCTTTTGATCGCCGTTGTGACGTGCATTTGCACTAAATTTACGTTAACCGTGAATTTAAAAAGGGGACCTTGGCCCCCTTTTTTTATACCTGTAAACATTTTTCTTTATCGAGGTAAAGGAGAGACTTGACGAAGGGAGATAAAAAGTTAAGACTTGTTAACGGATTATTAACTAAATCCATACAAGATTTTGAATCATAAGAAGAAAAATAATAAGAATAGCCCAGGGACAGGGAAGATACACCAGGGTCGAAAAAGGGGGAATAAAGGGTGAATCCCTTTATAGGCGCCCAAGAAAAATCCTCAAGTTTGGGAGAGCTTGAGTTTTTAAAACTTTGAGCTCTAGGGTATAGCCTCTCTTCTCTTGTTTTTTGCAGAACTTACCCCTTTTGATCAAAGTTTATTTTATGAAGTTTAAGCGGTTTTAAAGAAAGTGGTTTTTAATGAAGCAGTTTTTATTCATAAAGATTGGAGTTTGATAACCTTTGAAGCGCAGCCAATGATTCTAGAAAGTTTTCTTTTACGCACGGGGAAAAATTATAGAAATTTTTTTTTAGCGATTTTCTTTTATTCTGTTTCTACTTTTGTGCAAGGGCAGGACATCTATCTTTTTAAGGTTTACCTAAAAGACCAAATCGTAAAGGTCTATAGAAATGGGCACTTTTTTAAAAAACTTCTTTGCTCAACAGGGATAAAGCCAGGCTCAACGCCCACTGGAACTTTTAAAACTTATGCCAAAAAAGAACGAGATGGTAAGACAATAGAAGGATTAGAAGTCTTTTATTTTTACAAAACTCGCTTTCATAAAAAAGCAACATTTCACAGCCCTCTTGAAGGGGAGCATCCGATCGTCAAAGAAAGAGAAGAACTTTTTCGTGCCCGAAAACCGTCTAGTAGTGGGTGCGTTATCTTAAGACCAGAAGATGCAAAGTGGATTTATTTATAGGCTGCCTTTAGGATTATCTGTTGAGGTCATCGATGGATCTGAAAATGATCATGAATGAATCGGGAGCTTAGTGAGTTTTTTATTCATTCCTCATCTATATGAAAGGGATCATTCATATTTCTTTTGTGAAAGGAAAAACTAAAAAGTGTTCGATCAGTTTTTTGATTTAGATAAAACTTTTACACTTCAAAAGGTTCAGGAATTGGAGAGCCTTTTTATAAAGAAAAAATATCCTCCTTTTGATGATAGAAATCATCATACATTTTTTTACGAGATACGTCCCATTCTAAGAGTGGCCGAGTTTTTGTCTAAAAGCAGGGACATAAAATTAAAATTTTTTGGGAAATCAAAAGAATATGATGGGAAAATTTTAATTAACAATACTGAGTTTACGATTGAGTGTGTAAGAGCTGGTGCTTCTCAAAATGAGGCTTTAATTGTAGAGCATCTTAAGCGTTATGGGTACGTACCGGTATTTCAGGAAATTAAATGCAAGGGAACAAAGCAAAATCGAAAAATGCTGAAAAATGAAATTGTTGCGTGGGAAGTTAATGAAGAGAATGAGAAAAAAAGTATTGAGTGTTCAGATTTTATTTTCAAAGCGTACGAAAAGAAAAAGAAATTAAAGTATAAGAACTTTTTTCTCTGCATAACTCTTGAGGATTCATGGATTGAAAACCAAAGAATTTTTTCTGAAATTTGCCAAAAAGCATGGGAGAACTGCTTAAAAGAAAACAAGATTTTTCAAAAAATTTTTGTTGTGGGAGAGACTAAAAAGTTTATTTGGTGCTCACCTGGTAACAATATTTTCTAAGATGTTTGTATTTGAGTGTGTAAGTAAAGGTTTTTGAAAAGCGTTCTAGTATTTTTCTACAAGTTCTTAAGAACTAGGAAAGTGCGGCTTATACTCGGAGAAATCGACGTGAGACCACTGGGTTTACTCCATGTGTGTTTGCTAGGGGTAGGAGAAGAAATCACTCCTCTATTTTTGGGATTATTTTACAGGGCGTTTTTAAAAAAGGGGCCAGGTAGTATGCCTGACCCCAGGGTCTAAAAGGAAGAGCAGGAGGGTGGGAACCTCCTGCAAGACGCCGTTAAGATTTGCTCA